GGAGGGAGCTCATCAGGTCCTGTTGCCTTTACTCGTTTCAGAGCCTGAATGCAAGACCGAACTTCTACTTCTGCTAGAGAATCGCATGACAGTGCCCACGGATTTTCAGTTACAGATGAAGTAACCTGACTTGCAGAAGGCCAGCTGAATTATTCCGCCCAGCGATCAAGTCGTCGATCCCTAATGTGAATAGCTTGTCCCATCCTATCGAAGGCTGTTTCATTAACTGGAGTTCGCCGACCTCCCGTACTGATCATCATGCGGCAAACCCTTTGACTACTCCCTGATGCAGGTGCTAATTCAATTTCACTAGCTATTGTTGCCTAATAATTCTCACGGCCCTTCGTCAGCCGACGTTGCAGACACTACCCAACTGTTTTGATCCTGGCCGGTCAGAATTTGTCGTTTTTGATCCATCAAAACTACTGACTCCTAGGATACCCAATGCCTCCGACGGGTTTGAGGCTCAGACCCACAAGCAACATTCGCTGCGGAATGTACTGTTCGGTTAACCTGATCCCGCTGCTCATCTGCATCATCACGTTGAGGCACACTTAGCTATCGCACTAGCTCTGACTTATAGAGTGCACGAATTGTAGTAACAGACAGTCGATGATGAGATGTAAAAGTTTGCTGAATTCGTCGTCGACCAATCAGTCGAAGAGTGCATTACATCAAAAATGGTGCGGGGTCAGACTCAACGCAGGTGGTCTAATAAGACCTGCAATTTAGAATTAAGCCACGCCAACGATAGCTTACTGCGATGTGGTCAATCTGAGTTAGCGTGCCAATTGAATTTGAGCACCACGTTGAGAGCTGTGTCGAAAATTGGTGCTTGATAGGAATAGAACTGAAGAAGTCGATCGCCGTTATCTGTTCGATGGCGGGGCAGAGCACAACTACCGCCTAGGCAAGCTTCTGATGCGCTCAGTTTTCCAACTTGCGCGTTAAAGTTACCTGCAAGTACAACTATGTCGAAGCTTGAACTCATCCGAATGAGATCGGTGAATTCATCGTAGAAAACATTCCTTTGTGTATCAGAACTGCAACTGGTCGGTGCATATACTGATACGATGAACAAACACCTTTTAGTGTTGCTTTCTTTCCGGACGCTGATTGAACCCTGGAGACGCACTGCACATAAACGACTGTTGACTTGATCCAATCGATTAGAGAGGACTCCGCCCTATTACTGAGTACAATACCTACTCCGCTCTGACCTACTGAACGAGCTTCATCGTCGCCTGATGTGCGAAGAACGGATCTCTTCGGCAAATCTGGCGCGCTCAAGTGGCTTAGAGTAGTAGAATCCTGGATTCGAGTCTCCGAGACGCAGCAAAAGTCGATTCCTAAGGATTCCATTGTACGAGCCAGACAAGCTTGTTGACCTAGCTGCATCAAAGTCCTCACGTTGAAGGTCCCCAGATTCAGTGATTGACGAGGCTTTAGAATCTGCAAATCATTTCGTAGTGCATTACTTACAGTGCAATTTGGCAATGGCTTTTGGCGAGCGACATCCAAGTTGCTTAAGGGACTATTACAGGTCGAGAAGGGCAAATAGAGGGCTGGGTGCTGAAGACAGACTTGAACAAAGGTTTGGAACATTTTACTGCAAAGCAGAAATAAACGAGCTCTTGGTAAAGTACTTTTATAAACGGTCCAGGGTGCCTTAAGCTAATGGTATTCAAACACGACGAATGGAAATTGGTCCATATGTAACCTGAAAAATAACAGATGAATGGGAGCATCTATCAAACCAGTGAGGAAATAAAAGATTTAATTCACATAGCGCATATCGCAGGTGTGTAAAATGTCTTCGTGCTACCGGATCGTGAATTTCAGCAATTTTCGTGTCGTGACCCACACGGCGAATCTGTCAGAAGAAACCCAAAGTGATAATTTTTCTCCCTCTACACATCAAAGGTAAACCTGTTAGCATTTGTGTGATAGTAAAATGATGCACAAAGCAGGAAAGAAAGTGATGTTCATTTTGACTGCAAGAGGTACTCGACCAAACCAGTGTTCGAACACGAAAATATTCTTCAGTGTACGCGGTGATCACGTCAAATCCGCCTGTTACTGCTTTAAGTAACAGGACGTTACATAAGAAGCCATTCTGACGCTATTTATCTTCCACCTGCGTGTTATCCGTCAAACCTGATAAGTTCAACTCTCCGATTATGTTCAGTATTCGTACTCAAACTAATCCATGCTGTCTTATTCGCAAGAGGTTGATAAAGCTGAAGCCCCTTGATCTGTCTTCCGTTTCTGCACCTAACGTAAGTACTGACAACTCCATTGTCCCATTAATATGAAACGATGTGAGGATGACATTACTAGATTCCAGCCCAGATTCAAAAGCAGAAAGACGACATTCAACCAAGTGCAGCTTTGCTCAAAAGCTGGTCTCCAGAAAGAAAGGGGGACCATATGAACAGTGCCATTCCGTAGCATACAAGAAAGCGGTCACTGTTATCTAATTATAGGGCGTCTTGTACATGGTATCAATTAACCCCAGTTACAAAGAGTTCCTTCAGTTCAAGTCACGAAAATCTAAATATGGTACAAAAATAAAGACGATCGAAGCCTGCGACAACCGGAGGCGGCACGAGTGAGACCTTTCGTATCCCGATCGAAACCAGATGAACTTCGGGAAAGTATTCAGCCACATGATTAAAAGCTTTCCGCTAATGGGAATCGCACGATGGAACTAAAGACAGGAACGAAATAGATATCAAACAAGTATACTTGAAAAATGTACAATCAACCAATGCAGGAAAATGGATATGAAAGCGGAAAACCTTCAAGCCCACAAATGGTACCGTTAAGAGCACAGACAGTTGATCTCCATATCACATCAAAAGTAAAATGAATAAAAGCACACACGCAAGCGCGCACACAAATAGAAGGAAGTCAGCACAAATGATTGAACATACAATGATTACGTTCAGGATACAAAGAGAGGAAGAAGACAGTGAACCAAAAAGTGCACATGTGAACTACAATTGATATCCTTCTTTGGACAGAGTTTCTTTCACATGATCCAAAATTTCTTTTACAGAATATTTTGCCGAACGGACTTTAAGATGCGGATCGCTCCAACCAAGCTTCTCAATCCAGAATGGGCACAGTTCAAGGAGGACATTCAGATGTTCGCCAACGGCATCTAACAACGGATGAAATTTTTTAAATTTTTTTCACTTCAACGAAGATATATATACAAATATATCAGTGCATCAGTAAGTCTGAGAACAAAAATAGTCGTATTCAAGAAGGCTCAAGTAGAAATCTCAGTCACGCTACTGCTGGGTGCATGCCACCTAACAACCTGTAGAGGTTGTTTGTAATATTTAACTACTGAGTCTCAGGTAAATTATGGTAGAAGTTATTCGACAGACTGTACCCGAGCTAGTCTGTCTGGGATTCAGCCGAACAGACCAGTCTACATTCGGCATAAGGTAATACCACCTCTGTCTAACCGAACGCCGATGCATCAGGGGCACCGGAAAGACGAAGGTGAGTAACTTTAAATGAAAGAATAATAGAAAAGTCAATGTTCAATAAGGGCGAAATTTATACGACGTTGGTGAGATTCGAACGAACGGCCTCCGGAGTGGTGATGCTGATACATTGAAGCCGCCATTAGTAGTCGTACTAGTTCTTTTTTTATTACACGCATTTTTGTGAACAGCAGACGAGGAGAACCCCATAGTCACGAGACCTTCTGCTCCATCATAGAAACCCGTAACCTAAGCCTCGAGACTTGGAGTGGTGAACCACATAAGGCCCCGATAGGTTAGGCGTGGTAGTGTTCGGCATAAGTCCATCAAAAAGATGGTGGATTTACTAAAAGCCAATTATTGGCAAGAAGCAAGGAATTACTGCTGAAAAACGATATAAGGTATATCACCTAGAACAAATTAGAAAAGGAAAAATGAGTGGCACATGAATCCTCTATCCTATGACCATCATTTGGCACAGCGCTACAGATAAAATCAGCGAACTATCCTCAACTAGCACGTGATGGTGTATGGGGAAAATCAGTTACCTGCGGATAAACCCCCATGATATCCACCAGCAATGCGACTGACGACGACTGATAGCGGCAATGGACGACCGTTACCGGTGCGCATCACGGTCCACACTTGTGGCACAAAAGACGGAAGCCGGGCATAGATAGCTCGACGAGATTCTGGAATATGACTTCGAGTGAGCTGAGTTAGAAGACGACGCTCGTTCTCTCGCGCACGAACCTAACACAAACAAGGATTAGGATACAGGCATTAGAGAGCAGAATGCCAAAACTCAATCTGTTCTTATAATGATAGAACACTGTCAAATAGTTACTTCTTTTGTATAATCAACGCAAAATGCATCGAAAGATGAAACCCCATTTGAAGCACAGTCTATCAGAACGCAAAAACGTGAAACATCTGTTGATGACAAGACCAAATAAATTTGGGTCGACAAACCGTTGGCAAAGGATAATGGACGGAATGGGATAAATGGCGTAAAACAATATAAAAGTGAATAATACTATGACGGTCGGAATCATCTTACCTTAGCCAGTAGGGTAGCTGAAATTCCCTTTAATTTTGACGAAATAGGAGAATCGGCACTCGCGCCAAAATCTGTAATCGAAGACGAAAACAAGGCGACCGAGGGCACGGCCTGGTTGATGGTAGGGACACCATCCAGAGTGGAGGTAAGCTTTCTTGGAGAACAAGCACTCGCTTTGGTTGGACTGGGGATGCTCGGCAGACGATTTGAGAGGTACGAGTTAGCGACATTTTGACAGGCTTCCGCCTCACGGAATAGTGCTCTAGCTTGAAATGCTCTTACAGCGTCTCTGGCTGTGGTAATGTTGTGCTCCGCGTCCGAGGGTTTGATAGGCAAAGGGGAGGGTTGGATTGGCGGGACGATGATATCAAGGGCGAATTTCGGGTGCCAGCGACGCAGCTCAGTATCGTCAGGGAGGTCGGATGCATTTATACCAGGGAGCGTTTTAAGAAATTCCTGAAATGAAAAAAGATCATCCGTTCGGAGTATGCACAGCTGGGACGAGGAACATAGAGCTGTGATCGGCATATTACACAAGACTAGGCTAACGAGTTGTCACCGTCACATGTGTACGCATACGTTGCTCGAAGTTTTAAGATGGCCAATGGTACTCCACTCTGATTTCATACGTCCTTGCGATGCCTGGTACAGTACGCAATACTCCGTATTAGGTAATAACTCCATGATGTGGAAAGTGGATAAGAGATTTACATAATTAATCCGGTCTCTGCGGTTGAGATCTATCCACCACCATAGAATATGACCCTTGTTAACTAAGGACAACTTCGCTTTTCGAAAAAAACGGAAAATGAGATGTTTCAATTCGTCAGATAACGCCGTAACAGATGTTGTGGTGGTAGTGGGAGTATGTGTCTGACGAGTAATGGATATATATATATATATATATATATATATATATATATATATATATATATATANATATATATCACCGGCGTTCAAACGAGTGGTGGAAAAGACGTTAGAAAAGAAAGCTGACGCACACCGTGAATGCAGTACTTTCTTACATCATAGTCAGAATGTTTTCGTGTAGAATGTGTAAAAATTCTGATTGTCACGTGCATAGGATGTATCGCACAGAAGTACCAGGAGTTATTATTAGCCAACAAGAAAAGAACGAATATATAACCAGTTCAACTGGAAGTAAACATAATGACCGAGTTTCTAGATCAGGCCGGTTATTCCGATCTATAGACAAACTAATCGACCCAGATGTTCAGTGAGCAGTGCTAATGCCTACTAGAGCCGTTTGCACGGCTGAATCATATTCAATTTATAGTCTTGCGCAGGAGACGAGGTATGAAGCCGATCAGTTATTGTTAACCTTGGACAAACGAGAAGCTGGTGATGAAGATCGCTACCACAACCCCATTGGAGCGCAGTGATCACGCTGTATTCTTGCTTCACTACATTTTCTGTGCATTTTGACTACGAATTCCTGCAGTTACATTTGTTTGTTTGCTAACTACAAAAAATTAAGATCCTGGAGTAGGATGTACAATGAACGGGGGTCAAGGAGCACCGTGATTCTCTGGTACCCTGACAAGAATTCACGAATCGATTTGCGGCCCTGATGAAATCTGAGAGGTAGAAGGCGCCGCTTCACGAAATGAGCGGAAATTGTATGTTCACAGTAGAAAGAAAAACCTCTGTTGGAATGAGTATAAACGCATTTCTTGAAACTTGGAATACCTACGGTCTACTACAAAACCATTACATCAGAAATTGAACTAACAAAGAGAGCTCGTGTAGATGTTTATATCTGCATTTACATCAAAATTGTTGTTCTAACATGTAAACGTCTCCTGGAAAGTGAAGTATGCAGTTCCAGCCCTGATTTTCGTGGGACATATTTTTAGCCTCAGTTGCGTAAATCACATTCCACGTCCGACACTGGTCATAATTATTTTTTTCTACCGAAAAGAATGTCACCTTTAGGCATAGACAACACATCCACAAACCCTTATCACTCTGGCAAGTAGTATAAATGAACCACTAGGCCAGAAATTCGAACTAATGTTTAACAATGTGATGAAACAATTATGCAAAAAGAGCATTCTCATCTATTTCTTCAAATGGTTATTGAAGTGACTTGGTTAACTAACACCAAGTCACTTCCCTACCCGTATTATCCAAAGTCATGGCTTCCGAATATTCATAAAGAATTACCAACAAAGAGGTTCAGGGATCGCCGTGCACTTACAACGTGGAAAAAGAACAATATCTGGGGTTATAACTCATTCAGTACCACCGACTTCGAAGAAACTTGATTATTGTGTATCATAAACTGAATAAACCCAAACATCTTTTGTTTCTTTTTTTCTTTTCATTTTACTTCCTTTTATAGGATATGCAATGATACAATTTTCGGGAAGGGGGAAGCGATCAATCAAAGGGCTGTCATTCAACACACAATGGGGAAAGTCAAGCGGTGGTGATGGGATTCGAATACATCCCCGGGGTGACATCCGCGTTGTCCGCTACTCACCCTGTCGCCCACAGTTGATTCTTTCAAGCAGACACTTGATGAACCATAAACATAAGTAATATTTAAAAATTCAGGAAAATGAATAAAACCGTGATATTCCCCAATTACAATTTCTCTTGATCCAGACAATCGATTCGTCTGTGACAAAACCCTTATGAGAGAGAGAAGTAACAGCTTGTAAGTATTTCTCCATAACAAAGCTTGAACTTGAACCGAAACATTCAACATGGGCAAGACGCACGAAGGGATGAAACAACACCACATACAACAGCCTTGGACCACGATCTGCTTGGGAAAATATTCTAGACCCAGACAGGTGTGAAACACAGCGCTTTGAAGCCATTCTGAAAACTCGCGTAGCATCAGACACGCTGAACAAATTACTCCTCATGTTCATCTGGACATCATAACCAAAAAAAGACCCAACTCAACGGCTGGAATTGACTAAGGGCGATAGTTTGCGCGGGACAGCAATCAAAATAACTGCAACAAAAACGTATCAGTGGTAGAACTTAGTGGCAGATATTAACCAAAGTAACTAACAACATTGTATCCACAATGAATTTTCGCATGTATTTCAGTGAATGATGGGCAAGAATGAATTAACCGTTCAGGTGAATGGGAGACAATGAAAGGCAGGCCATTTTTAAATTCAGTTTTCAGATGAAGCATTGTTGAGTCCTAGTCCGATGGGTAAGGCCTTATACGGTGACAAATCAGTTATATTAATAAGAGAAAGACTGGATATATTACGAAATCCAACAATAACTTCTGCATCACCTAAGATAAACAGAAATATGTAAAGATTGCCAGAATTGAGATGAGCTTCCAATTGCGTCACGACCTTCGGTGGTGAGTGCTGAAGTAAGCGACGTCAGTAACCCGCAATAAGCTTGTAGATTTGGGTTTTGCCGTATCCACTATAACCGAAGTGGAAGGAGCTAACTATTTGCCTATTGGAGGAGCAGTTTTCTACGACTGCGTGTTGTCTGCACCATCTCCGATTTGCTCTTTAGCTTCAGCAGTATCCAGCCTAGACCTGTCAAACTGTACTCAGGCCGTCCAACCGATAACCCAAGTTGATAAGACCGAGCCTATTTTTCTCTTCAGAGGTGACTATTTCCCTTATGTTTCTATTTATTTCTACATAATTCAACTTTGCAATTTCGGGCTCAAAAAAGTCTCATTTCGTAGCACCAACCGTGCTCGCCCCTGGTGGGTCAGTTTTTCTCAGAACTTTGGACTTTCGAGTCTGTTTCTCTAACCATCGGTGACCATGATCTCGGAGTCCCCAGCCAGGGAGCCTAACGGGACCCATTTGAGCCAGTCTCCTGGTCAGGGTTTTCATACCCTCGTGCCAGGTCTTAGCTTGACCGCCCTTTATTTTTTTCCAACCGCTACCAGCCTCGGCAAGCATCGCTCGCCGTGGCAACCTATTTGGTGACATGCGTAGCACATGTCCCAACCAGCGTAATCTATAGAGGTCGACTACTTGTTCCAGTGGACAACCGCAATCACCTAAAACTCTACACCTAACCTCAGCATTGCATGTTCGGTTTCGCCACCAGACTCGTACATTGCTACGTACACAACGGTGTTCAAACACCGACGATCGATTTTTGTCCTATTCCCGTAATGGCCGAGTCTCTGCATCGTTAAGCAGAACTGACCGAACTGCTGCAGCATATACTCGACCCTTCACAGACAGCCGAAAGTCACGACGGCGCCACAGATGTCTCAAGTTGGCAAATGCCAACCGAGTGTTCCGTATGCGCACCGACACTTCATCTGCGATGCGTCCACCAGGTGAGATATAGCTGCTCAGATAGCAAAACTTGTCTACTTTCTCTACAACTTCCCCGGTCAGGGTGAGACTGGGGACTGGGCCAACCTAATCTTGGAGGAGCATTTTACATTTGGAAGGTGCTAATCGCATACCGAACATCGATACACTACCATTGAAACTATCCAGAAAAGCTTGCAACTTACCTGAATCTTCACTTCCTAGCACAATGTCGTCTGCATACCCTAGATCAGACAGTCTGCCACCTGGGAGTACATCAATGCCGCTATCTCCGCACGAGAACAGGGCTGTTTCAAGAATTAAATCTATCACAAATTTAAATAGATTTAATTCTATTTAATTTCGTTATAGATAGAATATATATAGGATATCGATGTATGTGCCTGGTGATGCGTATACACGTGCATTACGGTGACGCGACTGCTGTTTCATCTACCTTTCTGTCACACAACTGTAAGCAGAGCGCTTCGAATAACCTGGCTGAATGGCTAAATTTCAGAGGTTTGTTTACAGGCATACTGGATGTAAACAGGAAACTCACCCGATGTGCGCGCATGACGATTCCGAGGAGCAGACGATGAAAGCGGTTGCGCCGTTGAACAAGACGGGTCCCGGTAAACGTCAAATGTCCTTTAGAAGGCGAATCATGACCAATCTGAGTACCATCTTCACGAGCCAGAGTCGACAAAAAAACATGAAAGCAATGTGATAGAAAAAAGAAACAACAGATCAAAAGAAATATGAAAGACATACATGTGGATAAATCAGGTTTGGGTTTGAATTGATCCTAACCCTGAAAAGGCATTAGTAGACACTGGAAATTTACTGACAGACAACACATGGTCTCAATTAAGAACGGTTTGCTATTTTTAACGGAATTAGTTCAAGTACAGTAACCGCACTGACAGCTAACTTTTTGTGTATAAGCGTCAACTAAATGGGAAAAGTTATATACCGTTGCTTTTAAAAAAATTCAATGTTTATACCTACGTTTTGTTTCGTCCTGATAACACCATTGTGCGATACATCCTGGTGATTCTCCATTGGCTACCATCGTAATCTATACCAGCGGATACACTGCAATAAACGACTAAACAGTGAAGGTAATATTTCTTGAAAGAGTTTACCTATGCAGCGAGCGTGGATTAATGCGTTTGAATGAATACAAGAGCCTATGGAACACAGTGTCATAAGTCAGATCAGTATTTCAAATTGCGTTATCTTGAGGATCACTGGTACAGCCATCAAAGCACTTTCGAGGGGTACGACTTGGAATGATCTATTTCATATTTTCAAGGTTTACAGAGTCACCATACAGCTTATGTGGCTGTGATCCCGGAAACCAGTAGGTAGGTCACGGATAAAATAAACGCCACTTGGGTATTAAATCATGAACATGTGGGTATTGCCTTGTTGAATACGTGATCTTGGGCGACGAACAACGATGTCAGAGGACCAGGCGGGTTTCCGTCAAGATAGGAACGTCTAAGCCAAAATAATACCAATACGGAGGTGTGTAAATCTGGCCTAACAATAAACAAAATCATACACGTTACCCTGTTGCTCAACGGGTTACACATGACTGAGTGAGGTTCACAGGTGCACCCTAGAGGACAAAGGCCTACTGGTAATGAGCGCCACATTTTGTAATATTTTCAAGATTTCTAATGGATTCTCCCATTAATCCAACTTATCCTCATGTACGAGAAAATCCCCTAAAAGTGCATAATCAGATTCATCCTGAGAAATGAGCATGTATTTTCAGTTAATTTGTAGCCGTACCCGATGATAGTGAATTTACTGTTCCTGCTAATTTTATAAAGACTATGGTCTGATCAAATATTTTCTGGCGTTTTTCTTCTACGAGACATAATGGTGCGGTAGAATGAGCCTCATAAACAGAGACTTCGCGAGCCTAAATCAGAATCCCACCTAAGACCCAAACAAGATGTGGGGTAGACCCCGGCGAGAGAATAGCACTTAACATTGAAAATCAGCGGCTTTAACCGACACTGTATGACCTCTCCCAGAATTGCATTGCAGTTGCGTGTTTTCCTATGACAGAACCTAAACTTCCGATCATTCCATTTTACAACGTTTACGATTCCAGATTTTTAACTGAAAACGAACGTTCATAAGACGAACTGGAGTAAAGATCCGCAAACATCATAAACATTAGGGTTTTCCTACGGCGGTTTCAAACGAAATTCCGTTCGATATGAGATCATCTGACAGTCAGTCTATCTGGATGACGCAAAACCAGTGACGTAATCCACTTGAATCTGACGCAGAATACTAAAGAACGAATTCCAGTGGGAAGTAAAGAATGGGAAAGTTAGTCACAAAGGAAAAGAACTACGTGATCTTGTGATGAAAACTGCTAGTTTAACTTACCCGTTCGCAAGTTTGGCGATAACACAAGGACATATGCTCCGGTTTGACGATGCGTGTACTTATCCAACTGCTTTTCATACCTCAGATGATAAACCATGGGATAAACCGTCATGAACTGAGCAACATGAGATTCCTCAAAATTCCTGCAACGGGATGGTGGATTACGTCACAAACAGAAACATGTTGATTGCAGAAACGTGGAAAGGAGTACTTGTTTATGATCCGCTAAACATTAAAATAGACCATACACCATATTACAGTTCGGGTTTCACAATCCCGATCGCTGTGGTTTCGTGAATGGCAAGAAACCTCTTACATATTACCTGGGTTGCCAAAATTATGTTAAACGCTTTCCCTTTGTCCAGTGACCAATTGGTGAGGAATCGTCTTGTTCATTTTACGAACTGTATTACTGTGCAGTGTTCTGCTATTTTCCCTCACCGCCTATACACAAACCGAAGAAGTCGGTCGTTATTAAATACCAGTGGATAGTAGTTATCCCAAGAGGTCCGTTCAAAACAGAAACCTTTTGCAAGGAGTTAAGGGACTGACAATAAGAAATAAATACATGAAAAGGGACTGTAAACACGTCTCGCTTTAAACGCAATTGTTAGGGTGATCTATTATCAACATCATCATGATACGATCACAAACCGTTAAATGGCTTTGTCGAATCTTAAAAATAAACTGCAGATCATTAAACCCTTCAATCTCACCAGTTTTGTCAATGTTCGGTGAGCCACACAAGCGGCAAGATCAGGCAATTTCGTAAAGGAATCAAGAAGTCTGATTTTATTGGGTTAAACTAGACCAATGGAGCTATTTAAAGCGCAATTAAGGAGCAAGCAACAGAGAACCAGGTAAATGAACAGGCACCGTAAATGTTTTTGGGGTGATCGCAGACCCATCAAAAGCGGTGCAAATAAAACAACTGCAATTCACTCTACACTGGAGCAAGTAGTTGACCACCATGGATTACGCTGGTTGGGGCATGTATTACGCATGTCACCAGATAAGCTGCCACAGCGAGGTCCCGTTAGGCTCCCTGGATGGTGACCCTGAGACCATGGTTACCGGTTGTTAGAGACACTGCGCGATAAGGCTATGTCACAAACAGTGGCGCTCATGCATCTACTCATTATTCATGCAACCTGTCTATATGAATTCTCTATCTCCCGCTTAAATTTGTTCTCAACATTTCGATATTCATTCTTCTCTCTTATCCAAAAGGGTGACCAAAAAACAGCAACCAAAACGGGGGCACGAAAGTGCAAGGTTCATGATTGTAAAAACTGAAACTGAATTAACTCTGCACTCGCAAAAACGGGTAATTAAGTAACTTCAGCTACCCTGACCCAGGCCTTATAAAGAACCACAAATTACGTCACCGGGAAGTGCGTGACCTTATTTATTTATTGTCTTCCTGTATCTGTTTGTTTTCCTCTTTGTACCAGATGAAAAATAAGTTTTGCACCTTTCCCAACCACCCTTTATCACATTCGGAACACCAAACAATACGCTGAGTCATTTGCATATCTGCTGGTTAGCTGTTTGCAGGCGTCGTGATCATTCCCACAATTTCCGATAGGTACCCATTACCTTATACGGATCAGACACAAACAAGGTTGTCCGCAATACAGGGAGAACCAAAGACGAAATAAACTTCTTTCAGTGAAAATTAAAATTAACTTTCGGGGATGGTTTTGAGGTAATATTGTGGTGTGAAAAAATCATCCCGAATTTATGTTAGGGTTCTTTTTGTTTAATTAGTTCCCATAATCTTTTCTTTTTTTGCTTTTAACATACGAATATGATTATCGCCTGTTGACTTAGAAGCTTTTTAACTTCTATACAGTTTTCCTTCCGATGTTGTTGTAAGTTCTGAACTCGTTGATTGTTTAAGCTCCCGAAAAAACCATACTCATATGGTACACATTCGTGACAAACAACTACAGTATTTCACTCCGTGAACTATGCCGATCTAAGAGCCCCATACGATTAACAAAAACAGCACAGAACGTAACTGTGGAAAGATCCGCCTATTAATTTGCTATGTTGGTACAATTATGCGAGAACTGTAATTATGCATGCGTATAGTCACACCAACCACCTAGGTCACTTGAGCTACACAAGAAAGCTGGTACAAGCAGAAGGGAAACTTGAGAGCAAGTTTATTGCCAGATGAGATGTGGAGGAGGGATAAAACGCACCATGAAAGAGTAGAAGTGCATTTGTGTTTTTGATACCAACATACAGGTAAAAATGATAATTTCTTGGATCCAGTGATGACATATTCGATGTCTACATGAGAAATGAATACTTCCCAAAAAGCCCTCATTCTATGCTCAAATCGAATTGTACCAGACTCAAGCTGTAAAGTACTCCGAATATGTTTATCAATAAACTAAACTTCACCACAGACAAAACCTAAAGGACGGTAAAAGAGATTGAAAAACTCATAATTTGAGATCTTTAGGGTTCCTCTCATGGATGACGGAGATGAAAGGAAATACTTCATAGCATCACACATCACACAATGGAATTTTACAAGATTAATATCGACTACACCGGCCAGATATGGCTCATACAGAACTGGAGAAATAACGACCGGAACACACATTCGGTTCACTGCGATCGAACTTACCGGCGCACCACTTCTTGTACAGCTGGTTTTAACTTGTCGAAACTACACAGTTCCTTCCGATTGTGCAACATGCTGACAATGGTGTCACAACTGCGAAACAACTCCAACAAGGCTCGGAACTCAAACGGGAGAACTAAACCTTGTGGAATTTTTTCTGTCGTTTGAGTGAGCTCTATCTCTGGCCGTACCGGAGTGGTGGGCTTGAATGGGACGCTTTCCGTGTGCTCATCTGGTACAACCGGAGTGGGCGACTCTGCCAAATGGGCAAAACGTCTAAAAGCCGGTATAGGCTTTTCATAAAACGCAAGTGGTGCTATGAATTCATCTGGTACTTTCACCGTTGGTACCGGCTGTAAAAGAAATAAAGGAAAGAAGGAAGAGACTCTGAGAAAGGGACAAAAATATGAGGCTTAAAACTAAAGCGGTTTTTGGAACAGGAATCGTTCGTGTTACTTTCTTATTGCGTTGTCTGTGACATTTTACTCTACTTCTTTATGTAACGATTTTCGGTAATTTGCAAACCGAATGTTTCGTTTCGCGATTTGAATTGGCGCGACCTTGGTTGTCATGATAAAAATTGCAGTAGTTCGAAAGTTACTGTTTAAAATCAGAAACCATTTGGTGCAGAGACGCACGGACGTCTATTCTTTCTAACCAACGGATATTGTTCCATGAGGATGTTTATTCTGCTCCATCCGAGTACTTTAAATAGCATATCTTTTTCTATACAATGCAAAGTAATTATACAGGCAAATTATGATATATCATCAAAATTTATTCGAAAATATATGTGGCTACAAACTGCA